AGAAAGATCCATGCTCTCTAACTTAGAAAGTTGCCTGATGCTGTCTGGAATACTCCTCAGTTGATTCCCAGAAAGATCCATGCTCTCTAACTTAAAAAGTTGCCCGATGCTGTCTGGAATACTACTCAGTTGATTCTCAGAAAGATCCATGCTCGCTAACTTAGAAAGTTGCCCGATGCTGTCTGGAATACTCCTCAGTTGATTCTCAAAAAAATCCATGCTCTCTAACTTAGAAAGTTGCCCGATGCTGTCTGGAATACTCCTCAGTTGATTCCCAGAAAGATCCATGCTCTCTAACTTAAAAAGTTGCCCGATGCTGTCTGGAATACTCCTCAGTTGATTCCAAGAAAGATTCATGCTCTCTAACTTAAAAAGTTGCTCGATGCTGTTTGGAATACTCCTCAGTTGATTCCAAGAAAGATCCATGCTCTTTAACTTAGAAAGTTGCCTGATGCTATCTGGAATACTCCCACTCAATTGATTGCTAGAGAGATCTATGCTCTCTAACTTAAAAAGTTGTCCAACGCTATCTGAAATACTCCCACTCAATTGATTGCTAGAAAGATTAAGAACTATCAAGGAAGTCATGTTTTGGAGAAATATAGGTATTGGACCTTGGAAAAAGTTACTTGAAAGATCTAAGTGTTGAATATTACCAAGCAATGTAAAATTAAAGGGATGGTTGTAAGATGGAAAGTGATAATTTGTGAGACTACAACTTGACAAACTTAACCATGATAGTGAAGGAAGCATGCCAAGTACTTGAAACAAGTTTGATGATGTAAGGCTTAGACTTACTCCACTCATATCAAGAAATGTCAATGAAGTCATGTTTTGGAGAAAAATAGGTATTGAACCATGAAAAAAGTTATACGACATATCGAAGTGTTGAATATTTCCAAGCAATGTAAAATTAAGGAGGTGGTTGTGAGATGGAAGATGAGAATTTTTTAAACTACAATTTGACATACTCAACCATGATAATGAAGAAAGCATGCCAAGCACCTGGAACAAGTTTGATGAGGCATGGCTTAGATTTACTCCACTCATATCAAGTCGTTGCAAAGAGCAGAGATGAGAAATCCACTGAATGTCATCATCAACCTTCAATCCCCCATAATAATTCTGAGAAAGATCAAGGACATGAAGCCTTGTAAGATTTCCAAGTTCCCCAGGAATTTTTCCTCTAAACTGCGCATAAGAGAGATTTAGGTACTTCAGCTGCTTCATCAAGCCAATGGAGGGTGGAATAAGATTACTGCTAAAATTATTGTTGCTCAAGTCCAGGTGTTCCAAGTATCTCAACTTGAGCAAACTTGAACCAACCTCCTCTACATCATCAATCAAGCATAATTGAGGCTGTTGATTAGTAAATGCTGATCCCCTGAGTTGAAGTGAGATAACATATCCATTATTTTTGTCACAGCCTACTCCTCTCCATTCACAACAGTTATTGCCTTTCCAAGAAGACAACATATGCGATGGATCATGGAAACAAAGTTTGAACTTCAAGAGGGCTTCTATCTCCTTTTTTATACAGCTAAAGCTTGTGTTCTGACCGGAACAAAACTCTGCAGCTCCAAAGAACAATACAGCAACTAGAACAAGCATAACACAAAAAATTTCCCTCATAATGATGTTTTCAATATTGTATGGAAGATGAGATGTGATATTTAATTTTGCTTGTACATTAATATATAGTCCCATGGACAGGCAAATAAAACACCTTTCCCCGAAGTTACACTAAAGATAAAGATTCCGA